CCTACAGGAAGCCGCGACCACGTGTCACGGGAGGGGAAATGGCCGCGGATTCTGTTCGTAACCCGATCCGGTGTTCGCGAACGGAGGCAAAATTTTCCAACCAGAGCTGTTCGTGAACCGAATTGTTCGTGAACAGAAGAACCGAGGTACCACTGTATCTTATAAACTCAGCAGCTACTGTTGCCAGGAGCCTAAACTTCTATAACAGGAAAACTTTGATCCAGGCTGAAAAATTTTGAAAAGATGCTTTGTCTCTACATAACAATATTTAAAACCTTTGCATTCTAAAATGGTATTTAAACAAATCACTGTCTGGAAAGACTTGTTAAGACATTTAGAAAGAAGACTGTTATGTTTTTATTACTCCGATTACTCCTGCAATCTCCAGTATTTTAAATTTGTAAGCTCCTTTGATTGAACTCAGCAAATGTAGAGGAAAGACATAAATACTTTTAATAATGTTGACATCTGTGCTGAAATTCCATATTGTAAACTAATGTGGATTTGTCTTAGAATTTGGGGATTGTCTTTCTCATTCTGATGTGCTATCTATATCTTGAAATCCAGAGATGGTCGCCCTCTAACAGATGATGAAATTGCTGGGATGCTTATCGGATTGCTTTTAGCAGGCCAGCATACATCTTCAACCACCAGCACTTGGCTTGGCTTCTTTTTGGCTAGAGATAAATCAATACAGGAACAGTGTTATGAGGAACAGAAAACTGTGTGTGGAGAAGATTTACCTCCACTGAACTATGATCAGGTTTGTAGGCTTTGTTACTCCTTTTCAACTTACCAATGTAGCCTTCAAATGTATACGTGGAATGAGAGCTGATTTGGATTAGCGAGATAATATATACTATTCTAAAATTTCCAAGATTTTTCAAGTATGGATCTTAAGAGCAAAAATATATTAAACAGAATAAACTCTCATATGACAGGGTTTCTAAAAGTACTTTGAAAAATTGCAGAATATATTTGTATGATTTGTCTTCTTCATTTATATGCTTAGCAAAATGCCTGAGAGTGTATGTCCAATGCCTTTTTTAAATTTTTGTGTCTGTAGATTTTGCAGTGAATATTAATTATGTACGAAGCACATCTGTCTAATTTTGTATATTAGTATCAATACTACCAACAGCTGATTTCTATTTCTTTGCTTGATTATGCTTGATTTTTGCTTGCATTCTTTTGAATGCAGTATTAAGTCATAAGCAGCTATTACCTTCATACTTGTGGCAAAATTATTTGGGTCATTAAAGTTATTTGCAATATCAACTACAAGTATATATAATAATGGGTTATAATTATATATATATAAAGAAATATTCTGAATAGTTGAGAAATTGTAAGTATTTTTTTTCTTAGGTCAAGGATTTGAATTTGCTGGATCGTTGCTTGAAAGAAACATTAAGACTTAGACCACCTATAATGACCATGATGAGGATGGCTAAAACTCCCCAAGTAAGAAACTTTGTTTATATTCAGTGTATATTAAATTGGAATAAACGCAGAAGGTAATATTATAAAGGTAAGCCCTAAATTAGTATGTAGTAACTCTGTCTTAACACTTAATCATAACTGGAGTAAGAAAGGGAATAATTCTACATTTTCCATCTTTAGTTAATTATTGTAGGCAAATGAAGTTCAGTATTACGCATACTGACTCAATACATTCTGCTATAAGCCTATTTTACTTAACTTGGCACTCTCTTCTAAACAGAATTTTATAGAATTACATTATTAAGTTGCAGTTTTATGGATGATTCTGAGAATAGGTTAGTGAGAACAGTACATCTATTACGACTTTCTTCTGAGTAGAAATATTTAAGATTGGTGTTTTTTTTAATATTGTTTAACATCTACTTAGCTTCAGTAGTCACTTTGTGGATAAGGTAGTCCTCGACTTGTGACCATTCATTTAATGACCGTTCGAAGTTATGACGGTGCAGAAAAAGTGATTTACGATCAGCCCTTGCACTTACAACCATCACAGCGTCCCCGTGGTCAAGTGATCAAAATTTGGGTGCTTGGCAACTGGCATGTATTTATGATGGCTGCAGCATCCCAGGGTCATGTAATCGCCATCTGCAACCTTCCCAGCTGGCTTCCGACAGGCAAAGTCAATGGGAAACTGTGTGATACACTTAACAACTGCATGATTCGCTTAACAACTGCAGCAAAAAGTTGAAAATCGAGTGCAATCACATGATGCTTTACTTAATGATCGGACTGTTTAACGACAGATTTTCCAATCCCAGTTGTGGTCATAAGTTGAGGACTACCTGTAGAATTAACTTACAGAAATACCTTAAGCATGTGATGTAAAATGTGTCTCCAGACACATTATGTGTATTAGATGACAGAATGCTTATGTTAGAAAATAAGAGATTAGGTTGATAAAATAGTACATATCATATTGTCTTAAGATTGATGAAATGAATTTTCCCTGTATGCTTGTCTTGAAATATTGATTAGATTTTATCCCTTCATTTTTAGTGAAATCAAGCCAGCATACATACCTAAAACTCCTGCCTTCTCTTTTCCCGTGAAGAGAGTGAGCAGCCCAAATAAACCTAAGATATGTTCACTGGCATTTGAATGTAAAGATTCTTTCCTAGAACTATTAGCTGAGAATTCCCGGTCTGTTAGAGATTTCCTTCCTCTCTTTTATGAGTTGGTTCTGATACCTACCAGAAAAGAGTCGCCTATGTTTCTTAAATAGCACTCCAATTGGCTGGTGTGGGTCTTCCGGGCTGTGTGGCCGTGGTCTTGAAGTTTTGTTTCCTAACGTTTCGCCAGCACCTGTGACCGGCATCTTCAGAGTGCAGGAGCACAGACAGGAGCAGTTCCCCCAGATCTCTATAAATACCCACAGAAGGGTCACTTCACCCTGGGCACAGAGAGAACTGCTCCTGTCTGTGCTCCTGCACTCTGAAGATGCCGGTCACAGGTGCTGGCGAAACGTTAGGAAACAAAACTGAACTGCTCCTGTCTGTGCTCCTGCACTCTGAAGATGCCGGTCACAGGTGCTGGCGAAACGTTAGGAAACAAAACTGAACTGCTCCTGTCTGTGCTCCTGCACTCTGAAGATGCCGGTCACAGGTGCTGGCGAAACGTTAGGAAACAAAACTGAACTGCTCCTGTCTGTGCTCCTGCACTCTGAAGATGCCGGTCACAGGTGCTGGCGAAACGTTAGGAAACAAAACTGAACTGCTCCTGTCTGTGCTCCTGCACTCTGAAGATGCCGGTCACAGGTGCTGGCGAAACGTTAGGAAACAAAACTGAACTGCTCCTGTCTGTGCTCCTGCACTCTGAAGATGCCGGTCACAGGTGCTGGCGAAACGTTAGGAAACAAAACTGAACTGCTCCTGTCTGTGCTCCTGCACTCTGAAGATGCCGGTCACAGGTGCTGGCGAAACGTTAGGAAACAAAACTGAACTGCTCCTGTCTGTGCTCCTGCACTCTGAAGATGCCGGTCACAGGTGCTGGCGAAACGTTAGGAAACAAAACTGAACTGCTCCTGTCTGTGCTCCTGCACTCTGAAGATGCCGGTCACAGGTGCTGGCGAAACGTTAGGAAACAAAACTTCAAGACCACGGCCACACAGCCCGGAAGACCCACACCAGCCATCGTATGCCGGCCGTGAAAGGCTTCGACAATACAGCACTCCAATTATTTAAGCACTATTAAACACTATGTTTCTTAAATAGTGTTCCAACTATTTAAGCACTCTCAAGACTTTGGAAGCACCATCAGATGTTGTGCTAGAACCCATAAGAAAACTCAGGGAATACTTGTGCAAGATGAAACGTGAAAAGTTTGATGAGTTGCTTTCTGGCTTCATCTTTGCTATTTTTATTATTGACCTTGCTCATAGTCAGTCATGCATTTGTCACCTCCTCCTTGGACCACTGACACTTTCTAAGGGGAAATTATTGTTGGATCTTAATGAAGCTAAGAACCTGTGTGCTTAATAATTCTTAGCAAATATTCTTTAAAAAATCTTGCTGAATAATCCCCTTTATGCACTCCATAGATTGCCAACTCTTAATGTATCACCTTAGTAATTTAGGCATGAAAAACCTTTACTTTTATATTGTCTTTTGCCTTTAGACTGTTGCTGGTTATACAGTTCCACCTGGTCATCAAGTTTGCGTATCTCCTACTATCAATCACAGACTTAAAGACTGTTGGGTGGAAAATTTAAAGTTCAAACCAGATCGTTACCTTCAAGATAATCCTGCAGCTGCAGAAAAGTTTGCATTTGTGCCATTTGGTGCTGGTAAATTTATTTATTTATTACATCTGTATGTCTCCAATTTCATTGCAATGAATGGTTGTTTGCATGTATCCTTGGAGCTGGCTAGAATTAGGTGAACATTATCCAAAAGCAGCAAAACAACCTATGATTTGAATACCCATAAATTGGACTTCTTGGGCAGAACATTCATTGTTAGGAAAAAACCATTTACCATGTCCAAAGCATGGTCACAACTGCTAATGTGGCAAGTATTTAAACAATCTTTGCAAGTTAAAAACAGTGCCATTAAAAAAAGTTGCTCTTCTGTTGAAATCAGTGATGTAAATACATCAGCTCTAATGTTTGGCATCGTTAAATAGAGCCTGTATGGGACTACAGGGGAGAGGCTAGACGCTTGCGGATCAGCAGCTTTCCAGTTGCCTGGTCGCACGCTGCCTGTGCAGCTCTTAACAACCAAAACCAATCCTGGAGATTTCCCTCATTTCCAATAAGCTTGTGTTTTGTTGCACACACACAAAACACACAAAGTGGCCTAAAGCTATCCTCCAAAAAGTGCAGGGCGAGAAGCAATTAAGATTAAATTGAATTAGCTGCCTATAGAATAAAGTGTCCTATTTATAACATTAATTGATCTCTCTCTCTCTCTCTCTCTCTCTCTCTGCATATCCCCCATATATATAATAATAACAAAAACAATTCACTCTGTAGGTTATCAGCAGCACCTAGGGGGAGCAGCTTATCTGGTCAATTTTAACCTCCTTGTAACACAGAATGCATCTATAGAAGATGAGTGTCTGCTGTTGCATCTGCCTCTCCATCCATGAATTTCACATCCTTTTTCTAGAATTCTTGTGAGGCAGAGATAGCAGCTTCCTTTCAGTACGCTACTCTTTCAAAGACTATTCATGAGAGCAGGGTGGGGGGAATAATTTTCTGTTAAAAATGGAAACTATAAACTCAAGGTCTATGTGTGTGGTTTTTTTTAGGTCGTCACCGTTGCATTGGAGAGAACTTTGCATATATTCAGATTAAGACAATTTGGTCAACACTTCTGCGTTTATATGAATTCGATTTAGTGGATGGATACTTTCCTACCATAAATTATACAACTATGATTCATACACCTACTAATCCAATAATTATATACAAAAGGAGATCACAAAATAAGACACATACATTGTAGAGAAACTCTTCTAGATCAGCTAAAGAAGAGGTTGATCAGTGCCTGTAATGTAATTTGTGAAGAAATTTGAAATTTTGCGCTACAATTTGCCCTGTTTTATTTCATGTTTCCATAACCTGAACGTGTTTGAGCTTATTTTGCTTTTTGTTAAAGATCTTACTAAACTTAATTTCAGAGGTTCAAAGATAACAAATGGATGCAAATAGATTCTTTAGAAACATAAGATGTTTCCATATCATTTAAATATGGAAAAAAAGTAACACTATCATTGAATACTGAAATACAAAGCCAACTTCAGATTATTATAACTTTGTAAACATTGGCATAGTGGACTTCTCTGTGACTAACAAGAGACTCCTTCAAGGACTGCTGCTGTTAACATATTTTCCAGAAGTGATATTGTTTCTTCTTAAAATCAAATTTTAATCATTTTTTAAAAAACAGAGTTTTAAAATCACTGAGGAAAAACAAATCTTGTTGCCTTCATCTCAAAGACTGTGACTCCTGAAGCCTAATATGATAGGTTAATATAATGCGCAGTCTGTTCCAAGTATCATATGGAATATTTGCTATTACATACGTCATCTCTGTCTGAAGGATACAGCAATAAAGCCTTCAGGATTTTTAAAATATTAATTTGTTAAGGTGATTAGTGAGTTACTAGTAGCTCTTTTGCAGAAACTTGGAATGTTTAGTCTTTGTTACATGGTGACTAGGAGTATTAATTGGTTATGGTGATTAGTGAAATATTAGCAGCTCTTCTGCAGAAACTTGGAATGTTTAGTCATTGTTATGTGACTAGGGATATAGAATATTATTTGTATAATGGAAAAAAGTTGTCATTTGACCTTCAATAATGTTTTTAATTAAAGAGAGTGAAAGTTGATGAATATAACACTTGTCAATATGTATCATAACCAACTAGGATTTTAGTATTTCAACCTGATTCATCCCCACTCTAATTCTCATACGTAGACACAACAAAGTCCTTTATCCACTTTGTGGCAACAAGCTTCTGTTGACCTTAGCCTACTGAGCCTAACCCCAAGAAACCTACTCTGAAGTTCATGCTACGTGAAAAAGATGAATGCTACAAAACTAATAGTTTTTGCTGTGAAGGACTGATAAATGTACCACAGTGGATGTCAATGCAAGTAAATGTATTAGAGCTTTTAAAACAAAAATTTTATCATTTAATTAGAATACAAAAACCCATTTTAAAATAACTTCAGACATGTATTAAAATGATGAAATCATCTTTATTTCAGCACTTTGACAAAATACCCATAAAATCCAAAACTTCTACCTTTACAAAAATAGGTCTCTAGAAGTGATATTTCTCTCTGCGATTCCAGTAGCAAATAGAATAAAATTGTGAAAAGTCCTTCACTTAGACCTTATTGGAAAAAAGTTGTGCTCCTGGAGCTATGCACTCAGCAATTTCAATACATAAAGGTTTCACCCTCTCACCCATTTGATAAATACACACTTCAATAATTTAAGTGTTTAAATTAGCATTCCACAAATATACATGAAATTTAATGATCCGGCTCAAACAACCACAGAAAGTGCCTATATACATAAGTTCTAGCCTTTGTGACATGCCAGCAAGGTGAACTGCATACAATCATTGAGCTGTGTTCATGTTGGTCCCACAATATATACATTATACAAAAGCACAGCAGCAGCATATATTTGCAGAAGGCATTTCATTTGATGTTACAATTGGTGGCAAAAATATTTCAAAGATTATCTTCGGCTAGCGGAGTGCAGCTGAGTTTGCGAAGCAGGTGCTGTGGGGCAGAAAGACAAATATTCACAATCTGAGACCTTTTACAATCAATATAATGGCCGGTGAAAGCAGCAAAACTGTAGTGGAACTTAATGTGAGTCACAGACCAGGGAACAGCAGTTAAAAGAACAGTGATATCTACCTGACTGCACATTGCCGAGTCTTCTTTGTAGGGACTCCAGACGATTAATATAATCTGTTAAAGCCCTATCGGGATCGTAATTCTGCAGCTGAGAACATGCAAGGGAAACTGGGCTGAAATCAGTATGGATGCTCTGATACCTTAGAGTTGAAAGAGAAGCAGGTAAAAATGTTGATGAAACAGACCGTTGCAGAATATCTGGCAGTTTACAAATCCTAAAAATAAGTAAAGCTGATTTCCTAGATATCATGAAAGTAAATATAGTGGTACCTCGGGTCACGAACGCTTCTGTTCACGACCAATTCGGGTCACGAACAGCTCCTTTCGCAAAATTTTGCTTCCGTTGGCGAACGCCGGATCGGGTGATGAACAGGATCCGCGGCCATTTTCCCTCCCGTGACACGTGGTCGTGGCTTCCTGTAGGGAGGGGGACGCTCCCTCCAAGCAATAACTGCCTCCCCACCCGCCTTCCTGTCCTCCACGCCAGAAGTTGCATCCAGCAAGGTTA